TGGCAGAGGGCAGGCGCCGGGCCAATCAGCTGTGGCAGAGGGCAGGCGCCGGGCCAATCAGCTGTGGCAGAGGGCAGGCGCCGGGCCAATCAGCTATCTGCCAGGCCTGGGAGCCGACTCTTGCGGTCCACACCGCTATGCAGTTAATCCCCAACATCCGCGTGTGGGCGCTGCGAGGGAGGCTGTTTTCTAGGCTTCCGGACACCGGCATGAGCAGGGCAGATCCCGAGCTCCCAGCTGGCCGACCAGTGGGTGGGAAGTCTGTTTTGGGCCCGGCTGTCACAGACGCCACGAAGTTAGCGGTGGAAACGAAGCAACAGGTGTGCGTGGCTGGTCCACCATAGTGTCCCCATCACAAAATCAGGGGCTTCATCACCCCGACCAGGTGCCTTTGGCCAGGTAAGACATCCTCATGGGGTCCGGGATTGGGGTGGGAGCTCTTTGGAGGCCCTTGCTCTGTCTACTGCAAAGAGAGGCACAGAGCAGGTGGCTCGTCCAGAAAGGTCAGGCTGTTCAGCATAGCGAAGAAGCTAAGCTGGGCTGAAGCAGGCCCGGGGCGCGGGCAAGCGGGTAGAACAGGGTGGGGGCGGCTCTGCCGGAGGCGCAAGGCCCAGAGCTCCGACGTCCAAAGCCACAAGTCAGAGCCACCATAGAATAAAACAAAGAGAGGCCACCTGTTCCCCGAGCCCCTGGGGCGTGACTGTCACTGGCCATCGGTCCCGTGACCTTACACAACCCTGTCGATCTTACTGGAACAAAGACGTGCACACCCGGCCACCTGCACGCGTTGGGTCTTCCACACAAACCATCACGTCTGAGTGGCGTCGAAGAGGACTGTGTCGGGGTGGGGAGAGTGGGTCCCCCGCCACTCCAAGTCCAGCCCACCCACTCCACAGGTGTGCCTGCTTCATTCTACCTTCTCAGAATGGGGGGACTTACTTGTCCCCTCCACACAGCCCCCATGATGCCGGGGCGCCCCCTCTCATCCCCAAGCCTCACCTCCAGTTGGCACTTATCACTTCCATTCCCTCCAGGGCCACAGGAAGCAGGGACCACACCCCCGCGTGCTCAGGGTTGGGCCCTGGACTCCTGCCAGAAGGAGGCCCATGGACAGATGCGAACAGCCCTGCTTGGATGCGACAGGCCCAGAGGTAGCTTTGGTGAATCCCAGGCTCGGAAGGGCCGTCCAGTTCTGCTCGGGTACCATGGCCGCCCACCACCCCCTCTTGGAGTGGGGCTCAAAGGGCACACAGGGCCGGTGAAGCGGCCAGCCAGGGCTTGGCGGGCCCATGGACCGCGCATGACCCCCAGCTGCAGAGGCCAAGCTGGAGGCCCAGAGAATGGCCACACCCGCAACACCACAAAGTCCCAGTCTGCCAGGGAGACTCCTAGTCTGTGCAACCCAGGAGGTCTCATGGGGAGGGGCGCTGGGGGCCAGGAGGCCTCACCCAGGCTGGCACTGGGGTTGAGGACTGAAAATCTTGTCAAGCGGCGTCAGAGGAATGGAAGGAACAAACTGAGCCACTAAGTGATGTCCTGAGCAGAACTCACCCCATCTCTGCCAAGCCCAGCCCAGGGCTGAGGACGCCCCTCAGCAGGCAGGAACCTGACTTCCTGAGGCCAGGGGCAGGGTCACGGCCACGGTGGGCTTAAAGCCGGCATGTGCCTGCGTCACCTTTCTGTTTCCACCCTTGGTTGTTTTTTTGTTTTGTTTTGTTTTTTAATAATGTTTGATTTAGTGCAACTTTTTAAAAAAGATTTATTTATATATTTATTTATACATACAGAACTGGGGTACAGGCCAGAGGTGCAGGGGCGGTGAGAGGATTCCCCAGAGACAGAGTGGGGAGCAGAACTGACAGACTGGTGAAGTCCATTGCGGCGGAGAGCAGCGGGGAGACAGGAGAGGTCTGCTGCGCCCTGGGGGTCCCTCCCTGGCCTGGGATTGAACTGCTGCTCCAGGGGCTGCGGAGCTTCATAGTCTGAGACTCAACCCCTGCACCACCAGGAAGGCCGCACATGATCACTGTATTGCTTATTTTTTGAGGACCCTCCCTACTTTTTCCAAGCCTGCTACACCATTTACCTTCCCGCCCACTGAGTCTGGGGGAGCTCCCTTTCCCCATACCCTCTTTTGTTTTCTATCTTTTTAATGAAAGTCACTGTAACCGATGTGATTTCTCTTTGTGGTTTTGATTTGCATTTCTGACTCAGGATGATTCCTGACTCAGAAGGGCAGTAAGGATGAGATTAAGCAATTAGGTGGAAAAGCATCCCAGGTGGAGGGACCAGCATGAGCAAAAGCCTGGAGGGGAGAAAGCTCCTGTCGGGACATAGTGGGTTGAGGGAGGCCCCCCAAAAGTAGATCCCGATCCTCACTCCCATAACCCATAAATGTGACCTGATTCAGAAAAATCAATTAAGTCAGAGCCTGAAGAGAAGATCACCTGGGGCTGAGGGGGTTGGGGGGACGTCTAACAGCCGGTATCAGAAAGCAGAGAGGACACAGCGAGACGGGGAGAAACACCTCCCACAGGGGCTGTGATCTAAGGGCTGGGAAACCCAGATAGCTAAGCCCTGGGAACCCCAGCCCTGTGGTCAAGTGATCAGTATTTCTGTCCAGGCCAGCCACCCTCCTGAGTCACCCCATTAGCATTAGCAGGTGTGGTCAGGGTCCTCCCCTGAATAACAGAGACACTCCTATCGCTTACTGGGGGAAATTCCTAGAGTTTAGTCGTCTCCCGGGAGCCAGCAACTAGGAAGGTCAGACACACACAGTCGCAGCGGCTGGGGGGAAGAAGAGAAAACGGTTCAGCACCTGCTAAGATCCAGGTACAGTTCTAGGTGCTGGAGGTGCGGAAGGGTGAACACACTGCCGGCTGCAGCCCTCCCAGGGCTGGGATGCCAGTGGGAGCAACTGATAATGGAGAAGAGTGAACTGTCCGGGAAGGTAATCTCGGGAGAGAGCAAAGGGGGGGGTGGGATGGGTGAAACTGAAGAATGTGGTTGCTGAGCCCCAGATGGGGCTGGCCATGTGGGTATCTGGGGGAAGCGCATTCCTGACTGGGGGGGGAGGCGGGGGGAGGGACAGTGCAAGGGGTCTGGGGCAGGAGTGCATCGGGGTCCAGCACAGACGCTGGGGGGCTGGGCTGGAGGAGGGTTGGGAGGTCGGGCCTGGGGGGGCAGGGCCTTGTGCAGAGGGGTTACCAGGTTAGGGTTAGGAGCAGAGGCTGACTGGAGACCACCCAGTCTGCACGGGTCTCCTGGCTGCTTATGGGGACCGGAATGGAGGGGGTCGGGGAAGACAGTCTGGAGCAGGAGGTAACTGGTATTCAGATGGGGGTGGTGGCAGGGTCTGGGTGATGGCAGGGGGAGAGCAAGAGAGGTTAGATGTTGGATACGGTCCGATGGCGCCGGACACGTGCGGGGGTGCATCTGGAGCGCTCGAGCCTCCGCCTACCCTGCTGTGGCTGGAGGGGCCTTAGGGCGAAATGAAAGCCGCAGTGACTCGCTCCCTGCCCTGGGTGTGTAGCTTCGGATGCGGCTTTCACTGGGTATTTCACCCGGAATCAACCCAACCGCACAGTCGAGTGCCGGGGAGGCGCCGCCGCCTGCCGCCGCCAGGTGGCGCCCCTGGGCCACAGCGGTCCCCGCCGTCTCACTCCCCCAAAATTCCCTTTCACTTTCGATCTCCGGCTGTCACCCGGCCTGCCCCCTCCACACCCAGCTGGGGCAAGGCTGGTGCGTGAGGAGAATTGGGCTCCTAGTCCCCGAGGGGCGGGGCCGGGGTCCCCCTCCTATTGCCGAAGGCGGAGGGATGGGGGGTCGAGTTCCTGGGTCCCTGGCCTGGGAAGGGTTCTAGGGACCGGACGTCGGGGTTCTTGGAAGGAGAGATGAGGAGTTTTCAGCGTAACTGGGGCTCACGCAGGAAGCCCGAGGGAGTGGGAGGCGGAAACTTAGCCACATCAAGGGGCCGAGGGGGGGCTGCGGAGGTGAAGGGGCGGGCGAGGAAAGGGCTGGGGTGTGAGGGTCCGAGACTTGCTCTTCTGTCCCCTTCAAGATCCGGCCACAGGCATGAGGGGCCCCGGGCCGAGATGATAGTGCTGGCGCCAGCCTGGAGCCCAACTGTGCGTATGCCTGGGGGGCTCCGTGGGGGCAGGGGAGCAGTGGCAGCGGGGGGCGGGGGCGTGTTGAGGGCAAGATGCACAGGGCTGCAGGAGGTTGGCGGGGTGAAGGAGGCGGGCGGGGTGGAGGACACAGGGCTGGGGAGAGGCAGACGGCAGAGGATGCAGCGGGACGGAACGGGACAGAGCCGGCACCTGAGCGGGGTTCATGGCGGGGCGGCGGCTGGAGTGAGTCCGGGAGCAGAGCAAGGAGAGCGGAGGGGTGGGGCCGCCCGGCTCCTGGGTGCAGCCGCCGCCGCGTGCCCCGCAGACCTCCCTGCTGTTGCTGCTGCTGCTGCTCAGCCCCGGGCTCCGCGGGACCCCCGACTGCTCCTTCCGGTACAACCCCATCTCCTCCACCTTCGCCGCCGTCATCCGCAAGCTGGTGAGCGCCCGCCCGCCTCGCCGCCCGCCCTTCTGGGGCCGGGGGCGGGCTCCGGGGTCTCTGCACGCCCCCGCCGGGTGCCCGGGTGCCCCCCTCTCTGGGCGCCGTCGGGCGTCTCCTGTACACAGCCAGCCCGCGCCCCTCCGCAGGCCGACTACCTGCTGGAAGACTACCCGGTCACGGTGGCCTCCAACCTGCAGGACGTGAGTCTCAGGCAGGGGGGCCCGGGGAGGCGGGAAGTGGGGCGCCAGGCCGTGCCCCCCGAGACCCGGCCGGTGTCCTGCGCCAGCCCCTCTGCCCTGCGGCGCCCGAGCCCCGCCCCCAGCCCCTCCGCGTCGGAACCCAGAGCTGGGCCGCCCCCGCCCCTGCCCGCAGGACGAGCTCTGCGGCTCCTTCTGGCGGCTCTCCCTGGCCCAGCGCTGGGTGGTCCGGCTGAAGGCCGTGGCGGGGTCCCGGATGAAGACGCTGCTGGAGGACGTCGACACTGAGATCCACTTTGTCACCCTTTGTGACTTCGAGGTCAGCCTGAACTGCAGGGGGACAAGGAGGGGAGCGGAGACCCTCCCAGGGACTGGAAGTACAGTTCAGCTGGGCCTTGATTCCCTTTGATGGCAGCACCAAGGGGGGTGGAGGTGGCCTGTCAGCCCCCCAGTGTGGGGGGACCCCTCTAGGGAGAGTAACTTCTGAGCCCAAGGCACCAAATGAGCTGATTTCTCGACCCTGCTGGGGGGGGGGCGTTGCTAAGGACGCTGGCCCCCAGCAACCAGGGGAACTGGTTGGGGAACTGGGTCCAAAGTCTCCCTGAGACCCGCCTGCCTGGGCCCTGCTGCGGGTGTGGTGGGCAGGGGCTGCCACACAGCGGGCGATGTGGCCGTGACATCTCCCTCCCCTGCCCCCAGCCCCTCCCCAGCTGCCTTCGCTTCGTCCAGACCAACATCTCCCACCTCCTGCAGGACACCTCCCAGCAGCTGGGGGCCCTGAAGCCCTGGATCACCAGCAGGAATTTCTCCGGGTGCCTGAAACTGCGGTGTCAGCCAGGTAGGTCTCCCCCCACCCCACCCCCAGCCTCCCGCCCTCCGCTCAGGTTCAGTGGGCTGCCTGACCCGGCAACGACAACATCCCTCCTATTTCTCTCAGGCAGCCCTGTTTTGCAAAAACAGGAGCCACAGGTTTCGGGGTGTACCTTCCAGTAATCATGTGTAAAAAACTTTTAAACAACAACCAAAAAAGGTGAATTCACATTTTCGTTTTCAGGTTTGTTACTTTTTCTCAAGTTATTGGTTGTTTCCCCCTTTTTAAAGAGATTTATTTATTTATTTATGCATGTAAGAACTGGGGTACAGGCTGGGGGGGGTGAGAGGATTCACCAGAGACTGGGTGGGGAGCAGAACAGAGAGACTGACTGAAATCCACTGCTGGAGGAGCAGCGGGGAGACGGGGCTTGGAAGAATTTGGGGTATACAGGAAGGTACAAAGAAACGTACATCTCGCCTCCGTTTTTCAGATCTTGCCAGTAACGCGTGTGTGCTTGGTGGGGACTAGTTTGCTAGGGCCTGCGACAAAGAGCCCGGACCAGAGCGTAGTCTCGCAGCTGAGGCCAGGAGAGCAGCAGGGCGTCTTTTTAAAACACCCGTGTTGAGGTCAGGTGCATTTAGAGCACTGAATGGGGGGACAGGCTCACATCTCTTCGGATGTACAGCAGCAGCACCTGAGCGCCACACCCTCAGACCCCCCACAGTCCATCAGGCCCCTCCTTTTCTCCTGTCACCCCACCCTCCCCTGTGGTAGCCTCAGTTCTGCAGGAAGTTTGGTGTTGAGGGTTGTTTGTTTTCAAGATTCAGTTTACTTATTTGTGCATACAAGAACTGGGGTGCAGGCCAGAGGGGTGGGGGACGAGTGGAGAGGGGGAGTGAGAAGACTCACCAGAGACAGAGTGGGGAGCAGAACAGACAAATCAATTGAAACACACTGCTGAGGGGAGCAGCGGGGAGACAGGGGAGACAGAAGACAGCACTTGCCCTGGGGTCACGCCCCGGCCAGGATCTAAGGGTGCTGCAAGGGCTGTGGCAGCTTCACAGCGCTGCGCTTTGACCCCCGCAGCACCAGGGACCCCCTGCAGCACCAGGGAGGGCCACCTCGTGCAACTCGATCCTCTCTTTGAGGATCTTCAACTGCTCCCATGCCCAGGTCTCGGGATTTTTTTTTTTACTTAAGATTTATTTACTTATGCTTACAGAACTGGGGTACAGGCCAGCGGAATGGTGGGTGAGAGGCTCCACCAGAGACAGAGTGGGGAGCAGAACAGGCAGATCAACAAAGTCCACTGCTGAGGGGAGCAGCGGGCGGTCAGGAGAGGTCTGCCGCGGTCTGCCGCGCCCTGTGGGTCCCTCCCTGGCCGGGGCTTCAGAGAGCTTCATAGTGTGGTGCTTTAACCCGCTCGCCACCAGGGAGAGCCTGGCCTTGGGTTTTAAGCTTCGGGGTATGACTTTGAGGGGCTTCATTCCACAGAAGCAGTGGGTGCGCTTGCTGCCTCAGTTATACCACACAGGTCGTTTCCGCACCGGCGAGACGATCCCTCCCGATGCTGCCATCCCTAACCCGTGGCAGCCACTAAGGTCTGGTGCTACCGAATTTAATTTGAATAACTGTATCCATTTTAGGAATGGATCATTTAAATCACCGTTTGTTGAACTCGGAATGATCCAAGGGCCTCCGTGGTGGCGCAGGGGGTTGAAGCGCAGCACTGTGAGGCACGGAGGGACCCCCAGGGTGCAGCAGACCCCTCCTGTCTCCCCGCTGCTCCCCTCAGCTGGATTTCAGTCAATCCTGCTTGTTCTGCCCCCACTCTGTCTCTGGGGAGTCCTCTCACACCCCCCACGCTGGCATAAAGAAGACAGACCAGGTCTCCAGCACGGAGCCCACAGGCCGTCAGTGGAAGGGGGGCTAGACCCACACTGACACACGAGCTCCTGCGTCTGAGAGAGCGGGCCTGTGGCATCAGGGAGCCCGCACACAGCTGCTCGGGCCTCCGGCTGGCCTCCGCCGGCCCTGGCCGCGGCCCCACCTGGCCTGCCACCCACCCAAACGTCTTGAAGCAACACACCGCTGGCTTTGTCCAGTTGCAAAACAAAAGCCAACCCAGCCCCCACCGGCACCCTGTGCCAGACCCTTCCCGGAGCCCACACTCCCTGGGATTGCTGACAGCCCGGAGGCGGTATTCTCCCAGCTGCGGCGCTGAGGAGACCGCTGAGGAGACGGCGGCGGCGCAGAGAGAACACGACCCACGGCTCACGCCCGGCGCCTGCAGGCCCGGCTGTCTTTCCGCGGGCGTCCCCGTCACCGGCCTCCTTTCTCCCCAGACCCCTCCACCCCGCTGTCCCTGCGGAGCCCGGGGGCCTTGGGGGCCACGGCGCTGCCTGCCCGGCAGACCCCTCTGCTGCTCCCGCTGCTCCTGCCAGGGGCGCTGCTGCTGCTGCTGGTGGCCTGGTGCCTGCACTGGAGGAAGAGGCGGCGGCGGAGGCCCCAGGAGGTGAGCGGCTGAGCGGGCGGTGGAGGGTGCCCGAGGCCCAGCCGCCCTGGCTGACCTGTGGAGTCCACAGGTGGCCCCCGCCTTCAACCCCCAAGATGTGCAGCCCCTGAGGCCGGTGGAGCACTAAGTGGTCTGGGTGAGTCCTTGGCCAAGTAAGGGACCCTGGACTCTGAGGGTTCGGGGTGGGGTGGGGGCCTCCCTAGGGGGCCGGTGGGGGTCAGCACCACTGTGGGCCCAGGAAGACCTCTCGGGGCCACAAGCGGGCTGGGTGACACCAGGAAGCCGGAGGAGGCCCGGGTTAGGGCAGGAGCTTGGGGCTGCAGAGGACGGTACCTGCAGGGTCGGGTCAGGGGTCAGAAGGGGCAGCGCAGGAGAAGCTGGTGAAGAGAACCGCGCTGGCCCCATGGCTGGGGTGCCCTGAGGGGCGAGTGAGGTTAGGGGACAGGGAGTCCGGAGGGGCCCAGCGCCCCCGGAGAGCTAGCTGGATGCAGCCAGGAGAGGCTGGCCACCGAAGCCGCAGGGGACCGCCAGCCAAGGCGCTTGGGCGTGGAGGAATTCCAGTAAGTTTCCCGGGTGGACGTGGGGAGTGTTGGGAAATGTGGCCAGACAATCCAAGCTCAAACTCTAGTCAAGGAAGCTGGAACTTGCTGCCCAGGGCTGCTCGGAGCGTGGGAGGTGATGGAGGAAGGAACCTGGGGGCAGGTGTGAGGGCAGCAGGGGGCTGCAGGGGGGGAGGCAGGGGGCTCACCCAGACACGTCCGAATGCACTCACACGCTAGCGCCTCAGGGACCCGGCCTGGGTGCTGGGGTTCTCTACAAGTTAACTCACCTCGTCAAGGAGCTGGTGCCATGCTCGTCCCTATTTCACAATGGCTGAAGTCGAGCACAGAGAGGTAAATCATTTGCCGAAAGTCACACAGCTTGCCGTCGAGGCAGGATTCGACTCTGATGCTCTGACTCTGGCATCTGTGCTTTTCACGCTTCTGCCTCCGTTTCCTGATCTGCACACGAGACTATTAATAGTCCCTCTGCCGCAGGACTGCTGAGAGCTTAGGGGAGTGACACAGGCACACAAGCACAGCGAGCCCTCAGAGCAACACGGGAACTAGAACACAGGCCCCCTGCCGGGCTAGGTTTTGAAGCAGACACCTACTTTCAAAGCAGTGGATTATTTTGAAAAAAATTATTTATTTATGCATACAAGAACTGGGGTACAGGCCAGAGGTGCAGGGGTGAGAGGATTCACCAGAGACAGTGGGGAGCAGCACAGGCAGATCAACTGGAATCCACTCCTGAGGGGGGCAGCGGGGAGATGGGAGAGGTCTGCTGTGCCCTGGGGGGGTCACTCCCTGGCTGGGGATCGAACTCAGGCTGCAGGGGCTGTGGCCAGCTCCTGAGTGCTGTGCTTTAAACTGTTGCCCCACCAGGGAGGGCCCCAATCCACCCCCCACAACCTTTCCCTGCACACGCCCCTCCTCCCCTCCCTCTCTGGTCACCACCATCCTGTGGTCAGAATCTAAGGGTTTGTTTTGTTTTGTTTGTTCCTTTGCTTTGATTCTTTATCTTCCACATAAAATCAAGGGTTTTTGGCATCTTTTAGGGGTTGACTTATTCCCCTTAGCATACGCCCTCTAGGTCCATCCTGGTGGTCACAAACCTGAACAGTAATTTTCATGTACTTTTATGTAAAACTGTAAAAACAAAATTGACAACAAAAAACAGAAGCTGACACGTCTAAAGGAATGCAGCGAGGTTTCCGCTTACCTCAGCCCAGCCCAGCCGGGGCTGTTTGCCCAGCTCTCAGTTTCCACATTATTCAAGTCAGGTAAAACACCGGCCTCCCTGGTGGCGCAGGGGTTAGAGCGCAGCACCCCGAAGCTGTCTTGCCATGTGGCCTCAGTCCAATCCAGACCAGGGAGGGACCCCCAGGGCGCAGCACACCGCTCCTGTCTGCCCGCTGCTCCCCTCAGCAGTGGGTTTCAGTAGATCTGCATGTTCTGCTCCCCACTCTGGTTCTGGGGCGTCCTCTCACACACGCCCCTGCACCGTGGCCTGCACCCCAGCTCCTATATGCATAAACAAAAATAAATTTTTAAAAATCAGGTAAATTAAAAACTCAGCTCTTGTGGCTAAAAGCTGGGAAGGGAGGGGGGCAGCCTTGGGAGGGAGCCCCATGGGCTATGATAGGCGACTTTGGGAGCCTTGGTGGTGGGTGGGGTCTGATTCTGTGCCTCTGACTCATATGCAACATCGGAAACCAGTATTAGCTCAACAAAAATAAAAAATTAGAAAGGCAACATTCTACTTTGAAACCAAACCCCAGCTCTTGGGGGCCTGCAGCGGAGGTGAGGGTGCGGGGCACTGTGGGTTCCACGGTCCTCCGACCAGGAGCTTACTCTCCTGCCTTCCACCCTCACTGAAAGGAAGTTCTGGGTATGAAAGTGGCCAGCGGGCACAGATCGAAACACATCTCCTTTCCTTCCTGCACGCCGAGCCCACAATGACAGGACCTGTTTGGGTGCCCAGCCCTGAGTCCTGCTTTCTTCTCTGTTCAGGACCCGCGGACAGCCTGACACATCCCCGCCTGTTGTCCCGTTTCACAGAGGACACCAGAAGGAGGAGTCACCTGCCAGGGGACACACAGCAGGGACTCGGACGTCAGCTAGACACTGGTCCCTTCCTTGGCGGCTGCTCCCCCCACCCTCTGCCCAGGATGGAGGCCATGCCAGCACCCAGCACCAGCCCTGGCCCCACCTGCCCCCCTCTGTACACAGCTCTTGTCCCCAGGAGATTATATATAAACCATCGTTTTCTACCAGCTCCACCCCGCCTGTCTGTGGATGGGCTTTGCGGTAGTTTGGATGGAGCTGCTTTTTTTCTGTGAATGCAACGTTTTTGTTCAATACCTGCTTTCTGAGGTCTCCTGGGGCCTCCCGGCCAGCGCAGGGCGATGCCGGCACTTTTTGCAAAGTTCTAGTGGTTCAGTCTTTGGCATTGGGGGTTGGGAGGACGGAGAGAGAAACCACCCAGGCAGCTCCGTATCAGCTAACTGACAGTTGTCAATATTTTCACTCTGGAGATTTCTTTGTTCTTTAATTGCATCTCAGTGGGCCCCAGATGGTTTCTTTGAGGCTCAGGTGTTGCCATTACCTGTTGCACCTTTTGCATCACAGCGCGCTGAGGGGCTGGTCGCAACCCCCCCTTTGATGGCTACAAAGTGACTTTCCTGGCCAGTGGGATTTGCTTTTGGGAGGGTGGGGTGGAGAGGAGGGCACCCCAGCGGTGCCAGCGAGACCCAGCGTCCCGATGCCGAGAAGCTCCTTTGGGGAACACTCCGGCACCTGGCAGCCATCCCTCTTTGCACCCTCCATGAACGCGGAGGGCCAGGCGAACCGGGGCTGGGCAGGTCACAGATGCCAACCCGCCCTGAGGAGCGCTGAGGGCCAGGCTGGCTGCCCCCTGCTGGCCACTGCGCACCCTGCAGGCGGCGGCCGCTTCTAGGGTAACACCGCGCGGGGTCGCAATCACCGCCCGCCGCCAGCGTGAGGGAGACCTGCGGCCCTTCCAATATGGCGGCCGAGGCCTGACGGCCCCGCCCCGGCTGAAGCCCCTCCCCACCACGTGATCTCCCGCCCGACCCTGCAATGGCCTCCGAGCTCCGTCGGGAACGCTACCCGGATTGGGCAGTCAGAAGAGGACCCGCCTCCTAGTGGGCCAGCTCTGCGCACGCGCACGCCCCTCTGGCCAATGAAAAGACGGGAATCCTCGCGCGCCGCTCGTGCCGCGTCACTTCCTCCGCCCCTGTTCCAAGGGATAAGAAACCCTGCAGCAACTCTTCCTTCTTTCCCAGGCGGCTGCCGAAGATGGCGGAGGGGCAGGTGTGGGCTCCGCGCGGGCCGGGGCGGCGTGGGCCGGGTGGGTCCCAGGCCGAAACGGGGTTGGGCTCCCTTGACTCTTGTGCGCGTGTTGTGAAGCTTAAAGTCGATTCTTGAGCAAAACCGGGAAGCTTTGGGGGTAAGAGGAATCCGCACCGCGGGGGAAAGCGCTACTGGGGCGGCGGAGACGCGCCGTCCGTCCCCGAGGGCGGCAGGCGGGCGCGGCCACCTCGATCCGGCCGGGCCCTGGCCGTGTGTCCGTGGCAGTGTGGAAGCACGCGGAGGGCTTGGCCGTGAAGTACCAAAAGTTGTACGAAATCGGGGTGCCCACCGCCCCCACGGCGTGGCCCCACCGGCCCCCGCAGCCCTCACAGAGGCACCAAGCCCGTAGTGAGTGCGCAGCGATCGGACGCGACCCGCTCTCTGGGTGGTTCGGGCTGGTTCTAGGGGGCGGCAGATCCCGGCCCTGGCCGGTTGCGCACGTGGCTTTGACACGGGGACCTGAGGCTGAGCGCGGCACCCGGGTCTCTGCCGCTTCCTCACTTCCCTGGTTGTCACTCCGCGCCAGGGAGAAGGGGCAGAACCACGCCCCTGGGAGCCGAGCTGTGCCCGGAGCTTCACCTGCTAACAGCCTCACAGTTAGAGGCAAGCCCCTGGCGAAGCTAAGAAAAAGGTGTTGGTGCATCCTAGATGCAGAGCTAACGAGTCGCCTCCTGAGCTCGGCCGCACCCATTCAGAACCGTGGTGTTCTGTGCATTTCACGCCAGGAACAACCTTGGAGGTCCGGACGAGAAAACTGGGTTTTCTCAGGGTTCTCCGTATTATGTTTGCTGCCTTGATTTGACTCGTTCTTGCTGCCCGATATAATTGATTCAGAAATTTTTGTCCTTCAGCCCCAGGCATAGGCTTTGATTCCCTATTCGACAAGGCAGTGGTTCGCTTTTTAGGCTTAGTCTGCAGATTGAGTCCTGGAACCTGGTTCCCAGGTGAATGACTACATGACACCCTGGGGGAATACAGTGAGCTACAGCTGCTTGGGGTGGGGAGTCAGAGCTGTGTCTAAACTCTCCCCGTCTCCAGGTCCTGGTACTGGATGGCCGAGGCCACCTCCTGGGCCGCCTGGCGGCCATTGTGGCCAAGCAGGTGCTGCTGGGTAAGTCTGTCCTCTGCCACAGGTCCCCTGACAGCACGTTCTGGCCCAGAGGTCGGTGATGAGCAACAATCACCATCTTTCGTTTGAGTCTCACGACCATGAGATCAACCCATGCACCGCTCTGAGACCTGCGGGCTGCTCCTCCCCGAGGCTGGGACACCAGCTTAGTTTTCCAGGATGAAAAGCTGCTATAAGACTTATATATATGAAAATTGGGGTGCAGGGGAGGGCTGAGGATTCACCAGAGACAGTAGGGAGCAGAGCAGGGAGGTCTGATGCGCCCTGTGGGTCACTACCTGGCTGGGGTGCAAATTCATACCACAGGGGCTGGCAGTAATATGACAGTGCTGAGACTTGACCCTGCGCAGTAACAGCGGGGAGGTAGCGACACAGGTGAACTGATTTATGTCTTCTGCTTGCATCACTGTCCCTTTCCTCTAGGCCGGAAGGTGGTGGTCGTGCGCTGTGAGGGCATCAACATTTCTGGCAATTTCTACAGGAACAAGTGTAAGTTGGGCCTGGGGCTAGGGGAGGTTGGCCTGGGGGGGCCACCTGGGGAGTTTGGAGTGTGGGGTGTGCTGGGAGGACCAGAGCGCGGGCTGGGGCGCAATGGTCTCACAACCTCCTCTCCCCAGTGAAGTACCTGGCCTTCCTCCGCAAGCGGATGAACACCAACCCATCTCGTGGCCCCTACCACTTCCGGGCCCCCAGCCGCATCTTCTGGCGGACAGTGCGAGGTGAGCTGGGCCCGACAGCGGGCTGGTGCGCTAGGCACGGGCTGGCCAGTGATGAGAACTTCTCCCACTCGTGTTCGAGTCCCCCGACCATGAGATGACTCCACATGCACTACCATCTGAGGCCGCAGTCTGCCCCTTGGGCAGGACAGGGGTCCTCGCAGGCCCGCTCAGCAGGCCTCCCCCTCCCCCACAGGCATGCTGCCTCACAAGACCAAGCGAGGCCAGGCTGCCCTGGACCGGCTCAAGGTGTTTGATGGGATCCCGCCACCCTATGACAAGGTGAGCTGGGCCACCCTGTCCGGCAACATACCCTCCCTGGCGTCCGTGATGTGCCACGGTTACCTACATTGTTTGAGCCTCATGAGAACAGCACTGGCTGAGACGCCGGCCCCAGCCAGGGGTCTCCCACCTGGCCCTGGCCCCCCTCTGAGCCCCTTTCCCTGTCTAACAGAAAAAGCGGATGGTGGTTCCTGCGGCTCTCAAGGTGGTACGGCTGAAGCCTACTCGGAAGGTGAGTCCAGCGGGCAGCAGAGGGCTGGGAGCCCGGGCACCTATGGGGCGGCTGGCTTGTCCCGGAGACTGGCAGATGATGGCTTTTTCTCACGATGGTCTGCGGATGCCACTGTGGGCAGTGCCGATAATGCCAATGGCTCAGCTGATGCCAGGAGCAGGGAGCCCTACTGGGTGGGCGGTCTCATCCCAGTCTACACTGCCCAGGACAGTCCCTCTCTGACGGTCCAGCTTCCCGTCCAGGACCTCACTTCCCTGCTCTCCCTCCCTGCAGTTTGCCTTCCTAGGGCGCCTGGCCCATGAAGTCGGCTGGAAGTATCAGGCAGTGACAGCCACGCTGGAGGAGAAGAGAAAGGAGAAGGCCAAGATGCATTACCGGAAAAAGAAACAGCTCATGGTGAGGGGCCCTGCCCAGTGTGCCCGAGGGCAGCAGCCTGAGGCACTAGTAGCTTGGGGCCCTTGGGTGTAAAGGGGGGCCCCAGGCAGCAACCCCTGACCACATCTGTCTTGATCCCACAGAGGCTACGGAAACAGGCCGAAAAGAACGTGGAGAAGAAAATCAACAAGTTCACAGAGGTCCTCAAGACCCACGGCCTCCTGGTCTGAGCCCAATAAAATTGACTGTTAATTCCTCATGCGTGACCTGGCCTGCCCTTCCTCCATCGCCGCCCCGGGGTGTGGGGGACCCCCAGGGCCGGCAGCCTGGGCCTTTGCTTGCTGGGAACAAGAAGGGGCCTTAGTCCCTGGTGTCCTTAAAGCCAGCTGCAGGCAGAACCTGCCCTCGCCTCCTTGTAGCAACCAGTTCAATTTCAGTACTTGCAAAATGGCCTTGAAAGTGTCTCCTGGTCTGGGCCATATAGCCTGTAGGGTGCCAACATGGGGGGGGGGCTGTGTGCTGCACCCCGCTGGCCAGCCTGGAAACAGGTGCACCCTGAGCTTTCCCTGGGCTTTGTGATGGGAGACGAATAAATTATTTTGAAAGAAACTGGTGTCCTTGCAGTGTCTGTGCACTTGAGGCTGGCCCAGGGGCGCTTGGCAGAAAGAAGGGGACAGTAACTGGCTGCTTAGGACACATGGGTGAGGGTGTGCGCCGCACACGGCACACACGCTGTCCCACATGGAGCTGCCCCAGCCCTGGGGGACCTGGCTGCCTGCCCCAGAGGGTGCCACCTTGGGGCCCGCTGGTGAAGTGGGTGGGATAGGGCAGGTGGAGGCGCCAAGGTGAGATGTGACTGCCTGGAACTAGTGGGTTGCTGGAATCAAAGGGAAGAGCGCTTCTGGCTTTGCCCTTGTCAGATCTCACCGCCGGCAGTCTGCAACATGCTGAATACCTGAAGAGGAAATCGCACCTGGAGATGCAAAGCTCATGGCAATGTCACATTTCCTTCCAGAGGCTCCTTTCTAGGTAACCTGCCTGTGTGGTTAGCACATGTCTGAGATACCAACTGTGGGTTCTGCATTTTCAAAAAAAAAAGATTTGTTTATGCACCCAAGAGCTGGGGTGCAGCCCAGAGGTGTGGGCTGAGAGGACTCACCAGAGGCAGAGTGGGGAGGACAGGAGGGCTGCTGAAACACTGCTGAGGGGAACGCGGGAGACAGGAGTCTGCTGCACCCTGTTTCACTGCCTGGCTGGGATGGAACTCAAGCTGCAGTGGCTGCTCACAGTGCCGCACTTTAACCTGTTGGAGCCACCAGGGAGGCCCTCTGCATTATTTTTCAAACTGACGTCAGAAGTCCTTTCCAAATCCTAAAGCTGGCCCTCCCTCCCTGGTGGCGCACTGGCTTGAAGCACAGCACTAAGAAGCTAAAACCCAAATCCTAAAGCTACGAGTTACTTGTTTCTTACAGGGCCTCCATGGTGGTGCAGGGGTTGAGTCTCAGCGCTGTGAGGCTCTCAGTGGCCCCTGCAGCCCTTTAGATCCTCTGCCAGGGAGTGACCACTGGGCAAAGTGGACCTCTCCTGTCTCCTGCTGCTCCCCTCAGCAGTGTTTCAGTCTGCCTGCTGTGCTCCACTGTCGCTGGTGAATATTATCACCCCCTTCTCATGCACCTACACCCCACTTCTACTTAAAAGACCAAACTGACGCCATGACAGGCTGCAGAATTGCTTCTGAACCAGCCAGGCCTAAATTTCGGTTATCAACAAGGTGCCAAGGCTGAGTTTAACTATCAATGTCCTAATCTTGCTCATCCCATAGCAACAGCCAAGGAGCAAGTTGGCAAGTGACCAACGCCAGATGTCCCAAGGTAAGCGGGAGTAGCGAGGGTCACATCTTACGTGCACAGACCAACCGGGTTAAGACAAGATAACTTCGCTCAATGCTGCGCTGCATGTTGGGAGCCCAGGCTCAGCTTGCGGTAAAGACCCTCACGTGCTTTGCATCAAATCGGCTCCTTGGTGGGCTTTGGGGAACTGGAAACCTGGCACAACACCACATAAAAAAAAGAAAAAGTCAGATGCTCCCGTTGATTTCCTGACTGCCTCCGACTGAACGTGGCACCTGAGAAGTGAGGCCTGCTGAGCCTCAGTTGCCCCCTCTGAGCTATAAAATGGGGCCACAGTAAACCCTGGGGCGGGGTCGTGGGAAGCAGTTGAGTCCCCCCCACCCCATGCCAACCCCCGTGGCCCAGCCGGGACGGGGAAACACTCCGGTAAATGACACCAGGGAGGGGACGCCGGGGACGCAGGCCGCGGAGGCTCTGAAACCCTGCAAGACCGGGGGGGCGGGCGTGGCCCGCTGCCAGGCGCGCGGCTGCCCCCGTGGCCTGTACGGCCCGGACACGCACTGGCCGCGCACTCGGGGTGATCAACATAAAGAGGCTCGGGGGCTCCTTTAAAGGTGGGTGAAGACGCCGGGCCACTGTCCCGGTTGAAATCCTGGCCCAGCCGCTTTCTGGGGAACCTGGAGCGGCCGTGGGCTCCACCCCGACATCGACAAAACGGGGCACCCACCGCCCAGCCTCACCGCACAACCCCGCCTCCTGATCTGGCCCAGAAACCGAAAAAGCCGCGCGTTAGCGGCCCGGTACAGCAGACGTGAGCTCCCGCCCCTCACAGAGATGGCGGCCGCGAAGTCCGAAGACCTTCCGGTCTCCCGCCCCGCAAAGCGATGGCGGCTTCCGCAGCCCGCTGGACGCTGCACGGACACAACCACGCGGTCCCCCAGCCCCACATGTACCTGCACTCCACGGAAACATGGCGGCCTCCTTGCAACTCTCGCGATAACTCGGGGAGGCCATCATGGCTGGCCCCACCTCCCAACGAGAACGGGCACAGGCCGAACCAGCCACCGCCTAACTATCGCGATATAGTGCTCCGCTTGCCCACCCGCTGCCCTTCACCATCATGGCGGCGTGGGTGCCGTCTTGGAGTCGCTCGATAGGTTAAGCCGTCCGTCAATCACAGGCGCGCCCGAGGACGCGTGCGCGCCAAGCCGCGCTGCCCCGCCCCCTGTCCGTCACTTCCGCTCTGGCCCTTGCGCGCAGAATAAGGAAACTCGGAAGCCGCCGCGACTTTCCTTTTTCCTAGCGGCCGGAAAGATGGCGGACATTCAGGTGCGGGCTGGCGCCCAGGCCGCGGGGCACCCACAGGGCTCTTGGGCACGTCCTGGCCGTCGGGCCCCGCTCGCCAATTGGGAGCTTCCTCCCGCACGTCCTCGCTTTACCGGGGTTTAATTCGGGCGGCGGGCGCGCGTCTGCGTTTTCTGCATTCGCGCCGCCTCAGCCCTTGGGGGGCTCCGCACTTGCAGCTTCATGGCGGCGCGAGCGTCTTAGGAGCGATCTAAAACTCGGGGTTTCCGGGTGGTCTTCCTGAGGCCGCGGCGTTTAGGGGTCCGCCTGGGAGCACTTAGAGCAGCAGGCGGTGGGAGCGGTTTCCGGGCGTCAGTGCCGAAGTGACCTAGGTTTGGAGCCGAGTCTGGGTTAGCGGGGGACCTGGGCTGACTGTCGTAGGGCGCAGTCCGGGGCACTGATCTAGGGGCCTCGGGGGGCGCCCCAGGCCGGGCTGCCCTGCCCGGGCTCGACAGCTCCCCGACTGTGCCCTGTGCCGGCAGACGGAGCGCGCCTACCAGAAGCAGCCGACCATCTTCCAAAACAAGAAGAGGGTCCTGCTCGGGGAGACCGGCAAGGAGAAGCTCCCGAGATACTACAAGAACATCGGTCTGGGCTTCAAGACGCCCAAGGAGGTAGGGGTCCCGCGGAGGGAAGGAACACGCGCGGCCCCGCACGTGGCCCGAGTGGCCGCGGGCGCCGCTGGGACTTGTAGTCTGTGACCCCGAGGCCACACCCTCCCCGGCAGGCCCTGGTGGGAGCCTCATGCCCCTCTCTTGCTCCCGCAGGCCATAGAGGGCACCTATATTGACAAGAAGTGCCCCTTCACCGGCAATGTCTCCATCCGAGGGCGCATCCTGTCGGGTGAGTGAGGCTTCTGGGAACCTGTGCTCAGATCGCTACCTCGGCAGGGAGAGGAGGTGGTTCTGGCAGGTGATGTCTGCTCTCACGATGGTCTTCAGATGCCCGCCACGGGCACTGCTGAGAAAGCCTCTTGGCACAGCTGATGCCAGCAGTGAAGCTTCTCTCTCGGGGAACCCGCTCCCAGGGGCCCTGCCAGACAGCCTCTCTTCCCCCAGGCGTGGTGACCAAGATGAAGATGCAGAGAACCATTGTCATCCGCAGAGACTATCTCCACTACATCCGGAAATACAACCGTTTCGAGAAACGCCACAAAAACATGTCTGTCCACCTGTCCCCCTGTTTCAGGTGAGTGTGGCCCCAGGGCCGCAGTCCATCCAGCCACCCTCCTGGACGTGGAGGACAGGGCTCTGGCCAGGGCTGAAGGTCGGCGGCGGGGGGGGGGGGTTGACCTGGTGTTAACACTGTGCCGGGGTTGCCAGGTGGGGTGGCAGGGGAGGGAGCCCAGGCTTCTGTCAGGCAGGGGTGGCAGGGGAGCTCTTCTGCCCCTGGGCCCCGGAAGCCCGCAGCACCCCCTGCCCAGCCTTGGGCTTGGTGCCGTGCTTTAGGGACAGGGGGAAGTGGAGGGGCGTCTTGGGTTCAGTGGGTCCAAGCTGAGAGGCCACCCGTAACGTGGCCACCCCCTCCCCAGGGACGTCCAGATTGGCGACATCGTCACCGTGGGCGAGTGCCGGCCCCTGAGCAAGACGGTGCGCTTCAACGTGCTCAAGGTGACCAAGGCTGCCGGCACCAAGAAGCAGTTCCAGAAATTCTGAGCTGCCCGCCCGCCCCAACGCAATAAAAGCTCTTTCTACCCACAGGCCAGGCTCCAGGTGCCTGCACCCTTACCCCTGGGTGGGGAGAGAAGAGCCGGGAATTGAGGGGTGGTCGTGGAAAGATGGGGTCTTGCATAGGTTGTGGGGTCGAGCTGCCTGCTGCCTACATCGCTGGGGGATGTGACTTGCCTCCAGATGCCGCCTCCCTGGGACCTGTGGCGTTCTCGTTACCTTCTTGGTGTGGGAATAAATGAGGCCTTTTACTTGATCTTGAGCAGCCCCCCCAGGTCTCTTGGGAGGAAGTGAGGGTGGAGGCCCTGCGTTCTGTAGACTCTGGTCTGCTTGGGAACTGGGGGAAAGCAGCAGCCCCCCTCTGGGCCAGGGGGCCCTGATGGGGGCCCTGGCTGTGAGGATTTGGGCTTGAACCTGGATCTACCCGTCTCTGGACTGAAGGAGCCAGGCAAGACCCCCAGCAGCCTCTTGTGCCTCCTAAGTGACAGTCACCCCATTTTACACCTGCAAGACCACCGGAGAGTGCAGATTGCCTGGGGCCCAGCAAACTGCTGAGCCGAGTCTTGAATTCTGGTGACTTTATTTAAAGATTTATTCATTTATGCATACAAGAGCCGTGTTGTAGGCCAGAGGTCAGGGTGGGGGTGTGTGGTGAGGGGGCACCCCAGAAAAAGCGTGGGGAGCACAACAGGCAGACTGACTTAAACATTGCTAAGGGGAGCAGCGAAGCGACAGGAGGGGTCTGCTGGGCCCTGGGGGTCACTCCCTGGCCAGGGGTCAAACTCGTGCTGCTGACGGCTGCTGCTTAGTGCTGCACTTTTACCCGTTGCGCCACCGGGGAGGCCCCTCTGGAAACTTGCTCCTAAGGCATGTCCATAAATAGCAAGTGAATAGGGGCAGGTTGGTCAGCTTTCCCAGAGTCTAGGCTGAGAGGCCCCAGCCTGCAGATGCTGGCTCTCCCCAGAGGTAAGAGATTGGAAATGGAAACTGAGGTAGGTGGTTAAGGGGAGACTCGAGGCAGCAGCTGGAATGGGGAAGTGAGAGGAGGCAGGTGGGGTGCTAAATGCTTTAGCAATGAGAAGAAAGTGGAGGGGAGCAGCTTGGATGTCACCCACCAGCCGTGGCCACAGGGACAGGCCTGCACAGCGCACCGACAGGTGGGCTGGTGCAGCCCTGGAAGGGAGAGAGCACCTGGTGCAGGGTGGCGGACAGGTGGGCAGACTCACCGGCCTTGGCAGCAAGGGCGCCCTGAGTCCCCCGCCGACTTTATCCGGGCTGGCGCTGCTGGGGCCCCAGGGCCCTGCCCCCCATACCTGCACCAGGGACCCAGACACAGCACTGGTACAAGGGTTGGGAGACAAGGCCGTGAGGAGAGGCGTCCAGGAACAGGTCGCGCCTGACGGACAGGCACAGCAGCTCCTTTTCACCGCGACTCAGAGAGGGCGGGGTTCCTGCCAGAGGAAGTGGGGACGCATCAAAGAGGGCAGGAAGGGGCAGGGACGGTGGGGGGGGGGCGCCCGGAGTTTCAGCCTAGAATTTTGCCCCATCCCCTGCTAGAGGAAAAGACCCCTCAAGGCAGACAAGGACTTAGAGGAGGGTGGCGGGCCCGGCCTCGAGGAAGGGGCCCAAGGGCAACGGACCCAGGGGAACCGGGACCTAGTGAGCCTGGGGTGGGGGAGTAGGGCTAGAGAGAGTGGGGAGACAGCGACCTGGGGGGCAACGGGGACCTGGAGGGACAGACCCAGAAAGGAGGGGGACAAGGATCTAGAGAGGGGACAGAGACCCAGCGCCAGAGGTGGAGAGGGAGACCCTGTCCACCGAGGGGGCCAGACGCGACCCCAGGGGGGGCGGCGGGGGGCTGGAGCAGCCGCGGGGGTGGGGCCCCACCGCAGGTGTTTCCGTTCGAGTGGCGCTGAAGTGTTTACAACAACAACCGCGGCTCCTGTTTCCTTCCCAGCGCCCTGGGGCGTCTCCTTGGCATCCCACCGCGTCTGGCCTGCAGGCTGCAGGGCACTCGGCCTCGGTCTCCTTCACGGGCGCCGCTCGCGCCTGGTGCGCCCTGGGGCTCCCCTGGCGGCCGGTGGGTTGGGGTACGGACCGCGGAGCAGCACCCGCGGGCCTCACCCAGGGCCCCTCTGCCTCCCGGCGGGGTCCCGGCCTCGGTGCCCCTGTGCCCCACCCCGCAGGCCCGCGCCCCGCCGCACCCCTCCGGAGGACCCCCACCGCCCTCTCTGCTGGCCACACCCCTCACCTCCCAAGTCACCCCTGCTCTCCTGTGCTCCGCAAACTACAACCTAGCCCCTGGCCCAGCGGGGGTCCCTAACCCGTTTTGTTACTTTGTTAATGAGTAAAGTTCCCAGTCGCTTCCCAGCCATGGGGTGGGGGCCGAGCGGGGGTCACTGGTGTGTGTCAACCTTCCCTTGGGGGGTGGTGGGGGGAGCCGCCACCCCCGGCTGGAATAAGCGGCCAGAGAGCGAATGACCCCAACGGCTGTTTCATACCAGAAGTGGCTTGGTCTTTATTTAGAAGTTGGCTGATGAGTCTGTGAGCCTGTGAGCCGAACCCCACCAAGGCGCTCAGTTCTCTTGTCAAGGAGCAGCCCCCAGTCGGGGTCTGCATAGGTTGGCTTATGCGTGCAGCTCCCTGGAGCCTGAACATATTGCAGGGTCGGACCTGCATAGGTCCCTGGACCCCGGGAATGAGAGGTCGGGGTTCCACCTGCCCTGCACCCGCTGACTGTACGCATCTGCGCTCCACCCCTGGGGTCTCCCTGGGCAGCATGGACCCCTAGATCCCAAGACACAGAAGCCCGCCAGATGGGAGCCCTGGGACTGTGGCTTCTGTCCCGAGTTCCAACTTCTGCTTGGCAGCTGTGTGCCAGTGGGCAGATTAGTTTCCTCATCTGTAAAGTGGGTTCAGGTCTCGCTGCCCTGTAAGAGGGTGAAATTTGCTCATGAGGTAAAATTAGCTCTAGCAGTTGGTTCTGGCAGTAATTATGCCAGAACTCAAAGGCTGTTTCAAGAGAAAGGCTCAAGGTCATCCCTCAAGAGTGGGTCTTGGGGCCCAGGGGGTAGGATCAGGGGCCAGTGTCTGGCAGTGGCCTGGGCTGTGTTATATGGCTGTGGAGTCCTGGGTCTGTTTTGTCACAGGACCTGGGGTCGATTAAAGCATGCTTCGGGAATATTCTCTTGCATGCCCACTATCGGGGGGCTAGTGACATGCCATTCCGCAGGCCATCAGTGCCAGGTCTGGGAGCAACACAGCACATGCCAGGCTGTCCCATGACAACGAGGCTTGGCTGCGGTTGCATGTGATGTCTCCCAGAGGGGGTGTGTACCTGTCACCAGGCCCACGAACATTCTAGAACAGCCAGACTGGCCGCCCTAGGAGTAGCCCCTCTGGGGTATCAGAAAATGGGATGATGGATCACAGCAGGACCTGGAGGGCCCATGGCATTGCCATTGCAGGTTACCTTAGAAGCAGCCCGAGGTGTGAGCTGTGTGGCAGACACCTGAGCTCACATCGCTGTGCCGCTGACGAGGGCTGAGTGAGTGAAGAGACACTGAATTCAAGTGTGTGTGAGGAAAAGTTGGATCGGTCGGTCCTGGGTCTAGATATTCTAACAGGGACCTGCGGATTGGTTCGGGGGAGGCAGGTCATCCTTCCCTGTGCTCGCTCTTTAAATATTCTCCGGGGGTGTCCGGCCATGCATGTGAGAGCGAGGCCGATGCGGGCCTGACTTTGGAAGCCTGCAGCCTAGTGTGACCGTGGGAACCCTAACAGCGGGAGCGGGCATCTGAAGGGAAGCAGCTGTGCCCTTGAGAAACCGGGGAACCCCGGGTGGGAAAAGCCAGAACCTTCCCTCTGCAGCTTAGCCTTTGGTTCTGAACTCTGGTGCCCTTGTGGGGCAGGAGCTGGGGTCAGTAGGGGGCGCTATGGTGCAGGTGCAGCGGGAGGCAGGCTGCTAGGGTGGTGACTCTGGGGGCAACGCAGAGCTGCACTGGCCACTTAACCCCCACAGATACCTCCCCCACAGGTCAGGGGGGCCTCTATGGGAGAGCCCCTCACTTCCCAGCAGTGGTCAGGAAAGGACCGATGTTCGGCTTTACACTCTGCTTGAACTGTTTAGAAATGAACGAGAAGCCCACGTTTCATTTGGCGTGGGCCCCAGGCCTGGCTTCTCAGCCGGGACCTGAGAGCAGGACCCCGGGGAGCCCAGGGCACAGGCGGGGATTCTTGGAGAGACACCCTGGGACCGGCTGGGAGTCAGCGGATGCGTAAATGGCCCCTGAAGACTCAGCTGCACCCAGGACGCCTGGGAGGGCCCCGGAGGGCAGGGACCGAGCTGGAGAGCTGCTGCTTCCACGCAAAAAGACACCAGTGGCTTCGTTGCGGAACTCCCAGTCCATTCCATTATTTAAAAAGATTTATTTATTTATGCAAACAAGAACTGGGGTACAGGCCAGAAGTGCGGAGTGGTGGTGAGAGGCTTCACCAGAGACAGTGGGGAATAGAACAGGTGGAGCCACTGAAACCCACTGCTGAGGTGAGCAGCGGGGAGTCAGGAGGGGTCTGCTGCGCCTTGGGGGCCCCTCCCTGGCTGGGGATCGGACTTGTGCTGAAGCGGCTGCTGCTAGCTTCGGAGTGCTGCGCTTTAACTCGTTGCACCACCAGGGAGGGCCTCTGTGAGGGTGTTTTTGGATGGAACGGGGCACTGAATGAAGCAGACTGTCCCCCGTAGTGAGGGTGGGCTGTGTGCGATCAGTTGACGGTCTGCCCCCTAGTGAGGGTGGGCTGTGTTTGATCAGTTGACGGTCTGGTCTGCCTAGAAAAACTGCTGACTTCCCCGCAGGAGGCAGTTCTGTTAGCGCCCTGCCCTGGGGCTGCATCAGCAGGAGGCTCTTCCTGCTTCTCTGGGCGGCAGCTGTCTGCCTTTGCACCTGAACCACCGCTCGGCTCCTTGTCCAGCCTGCTGGCCTCCCAGCCAGGGCTGGAGCTCCTCCACCCTCCAGCCCACACGGACCAATTCCTTAAGCAAGTTGCTTTCTCCATGTATATACGCTTCCCGTTCCTTTGGTCTCTGTCCTGCCCTAACTAATACATCCTACGACCTAGCAATTCCATCTTGGGGATACAACCCCCCAATTTGAAAACACCTGTTAACAAAACAAACCTACATAAATGTGCATCCTACTCAAAAGCCGAAACAACTCAAATGCCCACAAATGGACAGACATAACGCGGCCCGCCGAGACCCAGAACATGATTCAGCCATGAAATGGACCAAAATCTGGAAAAGTTCAGGCGGAGTGGACTTGGCACGGCAGAGGGACCGCTCAGGGCATAGCCAAGCCAAAGCGGTGAAGGGGCAAAGCGTGAGGTTCCATACATCGGAAAGGCCCAGAATAGGTGTAACCACAGGCAGGAAGCAGATCAGTGCTTGCCGGGGCTTGGGAGGGGCTCCCTGGGTGAGTGGGGTTCGCGTGGGGGAGGGGCACGAAAATGGCCGGGAACTGGGGACGGGCACGCCGCCCTCGGTGCCTTAGATGTCACCAACGGTAGGCTGTGTGTTTTGTGCGTTTTTGCAGAAGAAAACAAACAACCTGGGCGTGTGGGAGCCCGAGCGGCGCGGGCGTGGTGCCCGCGGGGACCTTTAAACTTCAAGGGGCGATGGGGGCCCGCGTGTTATTGAGGTCGCCCGGGGACACGTTAAGGAATAAATGCACGAGCTTTTTAAGAGGACGCTGGTAGGGGAGGGGTTCCCAGGAGGAAATGCTGCCGAGTCTGAATCTGGAGGGCTCGCCTTGCAACTGCAGCCCGTGGGGGGGCAGAAAGGGGGGGGCAAGCGGGAAGAAAGGGAGCCAGAGGAGGGCGGAGGCTGGGGGAGGGGCCCCTTGCGGGAAGAAGGGGGCGCACAGGCACCTCCAGGTTTCCGACAGCGGAGTGTTGGGTCTGATTCCCGATGGGTCGTGAGTTCCTGGGCGGCTGACCCTCTCGAAATAAAAAAAGGGGCGCCACTGAGAAAAAGACAAAAATGTAACGACAAAAGCCTCAAGGGAGACTTAGAGGCCGGCCTGAGGCCGGGGTGTGCCCTGCAGCTGGGGGGCGGGGTTGGATATTCCTGGAGGGGGGAAGCAGTTTCTGGACAGGATGTGAGAGAGGAACTGGGGTCTTCAGTCACGGGAGCAACTGGGGCTGCAGGCGGGAAGGGAAGGAGACCGCGGGGAGCAGAGCTGGACCCCAGCGCCCAGGCCGGGGGACTGACCGCACGTGAGGGAGGAGGCTGGGGGCCTGGGCTCCGGGGCTGAGGCAGGAAGAAGAGGAACTGGCCGAGCTCTAGGAAAGGAGCCTCGGCCCATCCAGACTCTGTAATTATTAACTAACTGCACGGACCAAATTAAAGGGTGAAAGTTCACCGAGGGGGAGGGCACCGTCACCCTCGGGGAGCCCAGACGCACCCGCTGCCTCAGCCGGTGACCACAGGAGCTGGGAGGAAGGGGCGGGGTGGGGGTCCCAGCAGTCACGTGCCCCCTCCCGCCCCAGGTCTCCGCCTCAGGATGGGGGGCCCCAGGCCTCAGCCCTGGGGGCTCGGTCTCCTGCTCTTCCTCTTGCCGGGGAGCCTGCACTCAGGTAAGGGGCGCCGAGGGCAGCGAAGCTGGGGGGTGCTGGGGAGCCCACGGGGTTCGCTCCAGCCCGGCATTTCCTCCCCGGGACTTCCTCCGGGCGCGCTGGCCCCAGCTCCCCCCTCGCGGAGGCTGTCGGGGAGCCACCAGCACTCTCGGGCCTGGCCCCTTCCGGCCACCGCTGCCCCTCGGGGCCTGTGGCGGCCGCGGGGCCTCTCGCCCCCGACCCGCGGCCCAGTCACCCCGTCTCTCCCTGCAGCCGAGACCCAGCTCTCCCTGCTGTACCACATCACCGCCATGTCTGCCCCGGCCCCGGGGACTCCGGCTTTCTGGGCTTCGGGCTGGCTGGGCCCCCAGCAGTACCTCAGCTACAACAGCATCCAAGGCCAGGCCCAGCCCTATGGCGCCTGGATCTGGGAGAGCCAGGTGTCCTGGTACTGGGAGAAGGAGACCACAGACCTGAAGGAGAAGCAGACGCTCTTCCTGGAAGCCTTTGAAGTCTTGGAGAAAGGAGGTCCGGCTTGGCCTGGGGGGCCGGGGAGGGGAGGGGGTGGGGCTGCAGTTCAGACTCCCCCTCTGGGGGACGGAGTGGGGGTTCAGACTCCGGGGTCTGAGGGGCTGGGGCTTCAGTCTCCCGGTTCTGGGGTCTGAGGGAATAGGGGTTCAGTCCCAGGTCTGAGGGAGTAGCCCAGGGACCTGGACTCCCTGGATCTGAGGGAGGGGTGAGGCCTGCTCTCCTGGGTCTGATGGAAGAGTGGGCTAGGGGCTTTGCTCACCTGTGTGGGGGGCCCAGTTTCCTACACCCTGCAGGGTCTCCTGGGCTGCAAGTTGGACTCTAACAACAACTCGGTGCCGGTGGCCACGTTTGCCCTGAATGGTGAGGAGTTTATGAGCTTTAACCCGACGTGGGGCAACTGGACGGGGGACTGGCCCGAGGCCGCCACCATCAACCAGAAATGGGAAGAAAACACCGAGACCGTCAACAAGGAGAAGACCTTCCTGCTGTACTCCTGCCCTCAGAGGCTGCTGGGCCATCTGGAGAGGGGCCGCGGGAACCTGGAGTGGAAGGGTGAGCCCTCCGGAGCCCCATCCACTCCGGCCTCCACCTGGACCCGGCCTCAGGCCTCCTGGTCACTCCCCAGCCTCCTCCTGGCCTTCCAGCCTTCCTCCTGCAGCTGCCACCGCCCTCCCTGATGGTCCATGGCCCAGGGAACAGCTCCCAGCCTCTCTCCAACCGTCCTGCAGACCTCACTGGTCTCCCTCAGCGTCTCACTGGGCCCAGCCACACACCTGCCCCCCAAAGGCCGGCCCTGGCCTTCCTCAGAAGGTGGCTTGTGCTGCTCTCTTTCCTGGAGCACACACCTCTCCCAGGCTCTTGTCCTCCGACTCTTCTCTTCAGAGCGGGTTGAGCGGGATGGTTTCCTCTGAGGCCTCTCTGTTGGGGTGGAGATGGCTGGCTCCCCCGTCCTCACTGATCCTCTTTCCGTGCCTATCTGCACCCTCATCTCCTTCTTTTTTAAAAGAAAAAAAAAATTATTTATGCGTGCAAGAACTGGGGTGCAAGCCAGAGGTGTGGGGGGTGAGAGGATTTACCGGGGACAGAGTGGGGAACAGAACAGACAGAGCCACTGAAACACTGCTGAGGGAAGCATTGGGGAGACAGGAGAGGTCTGCTGCGCAGACCTGTGGGTCACTCCCTGGCTGGGGATTGAACTTGTGCTGCAGCGGCTGTGGGCAGCTTCGTAGTGCTGCGCTTTAAGCCCTTGCGTGTTGGCGGGACCTTGAAGGCTCTGATGCCGTATTGTCCAGGACGTACCGTCCAGGATCACCGCCCACTGATCAGTCGAACCTGTTCCTCTCCCTTTCCCAATTCCATGTCACTGCAACACTATGGCAACAGCCAGCCCTGGAAGTAAGCGCAGTGTCTGGCAGCAGACGAGTAGATAAAGATGCGAGCTGAATAGGTTTATGTGTCACAGATATTTAGTGTGGACTCTGAAGAGCTGAGCTTGTAGAGACAGAGGGGACGGTGGTGGCTGGAGGATGGGGGTGGGAGAACGGACATGTGTCCTCAAAGGCTGTAAACGTGCAACTCCAAGGTGAATATGTCTTGGCAGTACCTTAAATCGCTAGGGGGTGCACAGAAGAAACTGCCCTGGTGACCGTGCATGTAACGCGATTCAGGGGCAAGAAGGACATTCACACTGTGCAGCCGTCGGCTTTACTGTCTCCAGGGCTCTTCCCATCTTGCGCTGCTGAAACTCTGCCCTTGTTCAGCACTGACTCCCCACCCTGCACACCTTGGCCCGCAGCCCCCACACTCTGCCTTGCCTCTATGGATGGCTCTTCCAGGTAGCCCGTATGAATGGGAGCATACAGTATTCATCCTGGAATGCTGGCTTCTTTGACTCGGTGCCATGTCCTCAGGGCTCACCCATGGAGACAACATATGCCAGGTGGCCTTCCTTTTTGACAACTGAGTAATACTCCACTGCCTGTACCACGTTTTGTTGATCTGATAATCACTCTTCAGTGGATTCTTGGGTTGCTTCCACCTTTTGGCTGTTGCATACAAAGCGACTGTGAACATGGTCATATAATATCTCTTTGATGTTATTAGTATATTTGGTTTTTTAAAAAGATTTATTTGTTTATGAGTAAACTGGGTTTGTAGGCCAGGGATGCAGGGGAGACAGTAAGAGGCCTCCCCAGAGACAGAGTGGGGAGTAGAACAGGCGGATCCACTGAAATCCACTGCTGAGGGGAGCAGCGGGAAGACGGGAGAGGTCTGCTGCGCCCTGTGCGTCACTCCCTGGCCGGGGGTCGAACTTGTGCTGCAGTGGCCATCGATAGCTTCACAGTGCTGAGAATCTGTTCTGGTGCATGTCTGGGAGGGGAGGGGTGAGAGGCCGAGTCTGAGGGGGTCCTTCCTGGCAAGGCCCTTCCCCCTCTCAGCTCAGTGTGCTCAGGTTCCCCAGGGCAGGGCAGGTGGAGCCTGCTGGGTGGGCGGTGGAAGTGGCCAGCTCTGTGTCCGAGCCAGCCTTGCACTGGGCCTGGAGCCTGGGGTTCCCGAGGTCCCTGGGGTCGGGGGTCAGTCCGAGCCAGCCTTGCACTGGGCCTGGAGCCTGGGGTTCCCGAGGTCCCTGGGGTCGGGGGTCAGTCCGAGCCAGCCTTGCACTGGGCCTGGAGCCTGGGGTTCCCGAGGTCCCTGGGGTCGGGGGTCAGTCCGAGCCAGCCTTGCACTGGGCCTGGAGCCTGGGGTTCCCGAGGTCCCTGGGGTCGGGGGTCATCCTGTCTGCCGTTTGTCCGCAGAGCCCCCCTCCATGCGCCTGAAGGCCCGGCCGGGCAGCGCTGGCTCCTCGGTGCTCACGTGCAGCGCCTTCTCCTTCTTCCCGCCGGAGGTGCAGCTGCGCTTCCTACGAAACGGACTGGCAGCCGGCTCGGGTGAGGGTGGCCTCGGCCCCAACGGCGATGGCTCCTTCCACGCCTGGTCGTCGATCACAGTCAAGAGTGGCGACGAGCATCACTACAGCTGTGTGGTCCAGCACGTGGGGCTGCCGGAGCCGCTGACTGTGGAGCTGGGTGAGGCTGCTCCCGTTCCCACTCTTTTTTTTTTTTTGCATAGAAGAATTGGGGTGAGAGGATTCACCAGAGTCAGATTGGAGAGCAGAACAAGCAGGTCAATGAAGTCCACTGCTGAGGGGAGCAGCGGGAGACAGGAGGGGTCTGCTGCGCCCTGGGGGTCCCTCCCTGGCCTGGTGGAGCTCAGACAGACATGGTGGTGTCGGGGCCTTAACCCCGAAGCCCCCAGGGAGTCCCTCTCGCCTTTCCTTTGTCCCATCCCTGCAGCTGCCCTTCCTGGGTCTCGCCACCTTCCCTCCACCGCTGCCAGCCCTCCGCGGGCTGATTGCCTCGTGCCCTGCTACTGTTGAATCTCCCGAAGCCTGGTGGCCTTCTGTCCCGTGTTGCTTGTCCACCCCAAGCCTGACCACCTTCCATCCTGCTGCTGCTGGGTTTTCATGCAGCCTGACTGTTCATTGTCTGCTATGGTCATCCTCACTAACACTGACCGCTTACTGCCTTGCTGCTGCGTCCTTCACACGTCTAACTTTCCACCTTCCTGGCCTGCTCCTCGCCAAGCTCAAGCACCACCCATCCCACTGCTGTAGGTCCTTGGCCGGTATGACTGAGACTGCTCTCGCTAGGGCCAGGTCTGTCATGCTATCTGGGGACCCCTGGGCTGACCCAGCACAGCACCTGACCAGCCTTTCCTATGCCCACATCCATTCCCCGAGACATGGAGGGCTGGGGTCTCTGAAGCAGGAAAATCCCCAGGTCTCTGTCCTGACTCCGTTGGGGTGGCCGCCCATTCACCACTTGCCGCCTCCTCTCACTCTAGGCACTTCAGCCAAGTCCTCGATGCCTGTGGCTGGAATCATCATAGGCTTCTTACTGCTCACAGTGGTGATTGTAGTGGGAGTTCTGCTGTGGAGGAGACTGAGGAACGGGCTGCCAGGTGCGTGGCATGAAGAGGGAAGAGCCTTCAATGGGCGAACATTCCAGAAGAGGGGGTACACAGTCCTGGACAGCAGGCATCTAGAGATTGAGGGGCAGAGACCCTGAGAAAGGGGGGGACAGAAAATGGGGGCATGGCAAAAACTTAGCGAGGGGGACAGAAATCAGAAGACTAACACAGGCAGACAGATGCCCGCACTCGGCAGGGGCTGTCAGCGACCCAGAGATCTCAGAGATTCTGATGACTCCCCACCTCCTCTTTCCGCAGCCCCTTGGACCTCGCTCCGTGGGGATGACATAGGGACCCTCCTGCCCACTCCTGGCCTCTCCAAGGATGCTGATTCCTAGGATGTAAATGTAACCCTGGCAACCACCTGACTCCACGCTCGGGGCTGCTCCCAGCTAGTGTCCTCAAGTCCCTCTCTTGCTCTGAGACCTCCTGGACCCTGGTGTCTCCGAGCCGCCCTGAGCCCTGAGGGCCCCACTCTGGTTGCCTCCTGTGGTCTGCCTCAGTCTCCTCATATGTATGGCTCTCTTACATCTCTACATGTAACAAGAGTTTGAGCCCAGATCATCGTGTTCTCATCATTTCAACTTTGGGGGGGGGGGAGAGGGGAGGAGAGGGAATGAGTGGCGTGAGCTTTGGGCTAAAACCTCTGGAGGCTAGCATGTCTCCGCAATGGGATCACCAGTTGTGCATACCAAGTCTTGCAGTTTTCATTCATCCATATCACAGACTTTTACTGAATTCCTGGAATGCCTACACAGTGCCAGACATATGGAGGAATTCTTGGCCAGCGCCTGGTCTGACTCCCTCTGTGGAACAAAAGAGTTGAGCCCTTTTTGAGGGGCGGGGATGCCTTGCTTACCTAGTTTCTTAAACTATCCTGACAAAGGGGAAGATAAAAATACATCTCCCATGAAGCCTTGGAGCTCGGGTAACGTTAAGTAGTCGGCAGGGCGCCCCGACGCCTGCCGGGAGTTGTAGTTCGTCCTAGCGCGTCACTCCCTGGTCGCCCAAGGGTCGTCCCGGGGAAGGGGCTGGACCCAAGCCCGCGGGCGGCGTTCTGCCTTGCGGACGTGGCGAGGGCCGCCCACTGCCCTCCGGATCCTCCCTGGCCCCGCCCCGCGAGGGTCATCACGAGCGCTCATTGGTCGGGGGCGGGGCCTCTGCGCGACGGGGCGGGGCCTTGGCTGGAGAGCCGCCCAAGTGGGCATCTTTTCACAGAACGCACCGCCGAGCGCAGAGAGCCAAGTGAGCCGGATAACGGGGTACAGGGGTGAAGGGATGGGGCGGGTGGGGCGGCCCAGGGAGGACGGTTCGAGCCCAGGCTGGAGGCGACGCCAAGAACTGCCTGGTTTCTCTCTGGCCTCAACCCCACCCTGCACTTTTGGGTGGGAAGTGCGCCACGTCTCCTGCTTGCATCCCCCCCCACTTCGGCTTGGCGATCCCTCAGACGAGTCCATTCCCTCATCTGGCTTTACTTTGAGACCCCCAGCCCCTCTTTTCCCTATTCTTGGCTCCAACGTTTGCAACCAGCCACCTTCTCTCTGTCTTGTCCTAGTCCCCTCACTCCCGCCCCAAGTCTCTGTTCTATTTCCTGTGTCCCCTAACTCCTAGCCTTCGCCACTCCCCAGGGACCGATGATGTGGCTACCATCACTTCTGCTTCTGCTGTTGCTGCTCAGGCCCTGGGCCCAGGGGAAGCCGTCCCCTGACGCTGGCCCTCATGGCCAGGGGAGGGTGCACCAGGCGGCCCCCCTGAGTGAGGCCCCGCATGATGACACCCATGGGAACTTCCAGTATGACCATGAGGCTTTCCTGGGACGTGAAGTGGCCAAGGAATTCGACCAACTCAGCCCAGAGGAGAGCCAAGCCCGTTTGGGGTAGGAGAGAGATGGAGGGGATTCCGGGAAGTAATTTAAAAAAGCAACAAAACAAAGACTTATTTATGCATACAAGAATTGGGGTACAGGCCAGAGGTTTGGGGGGTGAGAGTATTCATCAGAGACAGAGTGGGGAGCAGAACAGGCACTGCTGAGGGGAGCAGCGGGCATGACAAGAGAGGTCTGCTGTGCCACGTGGGTCAGCCCCAGGCTGAGGATGGAACTCATGTTGCAGTGGCTGTGCCTTTAACCCCTGGGACACCAGGGAGGCCCTGGGAATTGTAATTTTAAAGAGGGAGGTCACAGGAGGCCTCAGAGAGATGGTAATGTTAGAACCAAGTGGGTTCCTGGGGCCGTGGAATTCCAGGCAGAGGGAACGGAAGTGCAGAGCAGGAGCAGGTCTGTTATTGGGGGTCAGGGAAACCTGGCCACTGGAACCCAGTCATCGAAGGGGAGAGGATGTGAGGTGACTGGCAGAGAGAGAACAGGGGGTTAGCTCGGCCCCGGGCTTTGGGCTGCAGTGGAGAGCTAAGCTTTTCTGAGTGAGAAGAGAGTGCTGGGAGGACTGAGCAGAGGGAGATGTGAGCTGACTCTCTGGCTGCCACAGTGGCAACAGAGGAGGGTGCAAGATGCAGAGAGCCCAGCGAGGAAGCCCCCACCTGGGTCCAGACAAGACTGGTGGGCAGGTGAATGGAGCTAGCAGTGGAACCAGGCCCACCGTGGAGATGGTGGGAGATGGGGTGAGAGGGGCTGGGCCAGACACAGTTAGTTAGAAAAGAGGATGTTCTAATTTACTCAATCCTCAAAGCTGTAGGCTGGTTACTATTCTTTTCTTTTTTTTTTTTTAAGATTTAATATTATTTATGCATACCCAGAGATGGCAGGGGTGAGAGGATTCACCAGAGACAGAGTGGGGAGCAGAACAGGGGGATCCACTGAAACCTATTGCTGAGGGGGGCAACCGTGAGACAGGGGAGGTCTGCTGGGCCCTGTGGTCACTCCGTGGCCGCGGATAGAACTTGTGCTGCAGTGGCTGCAGACGGCTTCATAGTGCTGCACTGTAACCAGTTGCACCATCAGAGAGGGGCGTGGCTACTGTTCTTTATCCCCATTTTACAGAGGGGTAAGCTGAGCCTCAGAGAGGTTAAGCTGCCACTGTAAGGTAGTGAGCAAGAGAAGGCAGCAGTTGAACCTACGCTCTCAGCCACAGCTCCAGTGCAGGGCAGGCTGTGAGAGCTGTGGACACAGCTGAGTCCCCTGCTGTGAGAAAGCCCTGCGCCAAGGTGTCTTGGCAGGACTGACCAGGTTTCAACCCTGGGTGAGAGTAAGGGGCAGGTGAGCTGGAAATCTGTGAGGACCCGGACTGGTGGCAGACCTGGGCCAGTGGAGAAAGGAGGGGCTCAGCAGTGGACCGGGGTGGCCGTATAGAAGGGGGCATGTGGTGCCCGACTGGACCAGGCGTTGCACAGCATCTGGCTCTTCACACGGAGCGGCGGGTGGGTGGAGGCCGAGACTGCGGAATTGCAGGTGATGGTGCTTTGGCAATGCCTGAGACGCCATCAGAATGGAGTGGGTGGCAGACCTGGCCGGAGCAGTGGGTTAGAGGGACAGGGGCGGGCCGAGACGGCGAGAGGTGGCCCGTGTGTGGCTCTGCAGTTAGGTTCAGAGCGCGTTAGGGGACTGGGCTCCGCAGGCGGGGGCGTGGAGCTTCGGACGCGCTTCCCTCCAGCTCTACCGAGCGCGTGCCGGACTGACGGGTGGGTGGCCGGGGACTGTCGTGGGTCCGGCCCCCGACGCGGGCGTGACTTGGAAAGCTGGCCCGGGGGTCTCAGAGCGCGGCCGAGCCGGCTTGAGGGGCGTGGCCACGAGGTGGGCGTGGCCCGCCCCGGCGACTTTCCAGGGAGCCTGCTGTCCTCCAACCTACATAGGTGTTCCCACGGGGCGTGGTCACTCGCGGGGCGGGGCCAGAGTGGGCGGGGCCTGCCCTGGGCCTTTCCTGCTCCCTGCTAGGCGTGTCTGCCCGGCTCCCCGGGGGCGTGGTCATTCGGAGGGGCGGGCCCAGAGGTGGGCGGGGCAGACGGCGGGGCCCGAGGCTGACGCGTGCCCCGCCCCGCCTCGCAGGCGCATCGTGGACCGCATGGACCGCGCTGGCGACGGGGACGGCTGGGTGTCACTGGCCGAGCTCCGAGCGTGGATCGCGCACACGCAGCAGCGGCACATACGGGACTCGGTGAGCGCGGCCTGGGACACGTACGACACGGACCGCGACGGGCGTGTGGGTTGGGAGGAGCTGCGCAACGCCACCTATGGCCACTACGCGCCCGGTATGCGGCGAGACCCGGCTCCCCACCCACCATGACCCTGACGTCTTTGACACCCTCACCCTCAGAATCTTTGAGCTCATAACCAGAATCCCTCTGGCCCCTGGCAAAGCTCTACCCACTTCTAGGATCCCATCAACCAGGAGCCCAGAACCCCGATCTCTGCCTGTGCATTTTGTTATCCACTATAACCCCGTTACTGGGGGACTTCAGATCAGTGCCTCCCATGTCCTGTCCTGACCATGACTTCTCACCTGTCATCTTGGGGATCACCAAAGTCGTTTAACCCGTGACCCTCCTGCCCCGACTCTCTGGGCTCCTGCTCTGTCCTTCACTGCAGCCTCTCCCTCCCCCATCCCTCATGCATCCCCAGAGCTGACCCTGACCTTCCCCTGCTCACAGGCCCCCCAGCTGCCCAGGCCCCCCATGAGAGTTCCAACTCCTCAGCCTGCCTTCCTCCACCTACTGACTGGCTTTTTCTGCATTTTCTTACCGAATGAACTTCAGCATTTTCCCTGAGCTCAGTTCAATCTTAAAATTTTTTACATTCTGCTTCTACTGTTTCCTCCCTCTGTTGAAAATACTTTCCCGCCTCTTTGTGCGTCAGACCTAGATGCAAAGCGCATCCTTTCTAGCAGCCGATTTCTCTCTTGTGGGTGTCAGCTTTCTTCTTGTTAAACTGAGGACAAACAAGCAAACCCACTTTACTTTTTTTTGGTGAGGATTAAATGTACTGTTGTAGGTAAAGCGATCAGCAGGTGATAAGCCCTACTGTGAGGTTGCTACTAGGTGTAGGTAATGAACACATCTTTTTCTTTTATTTGTATAAAGATTGGTTTATGTATGCATACAAGAACTCGGGTACAGGCCAGAGGTGGGGGGTGTGAGAGGGTTCATCAGAGACAGAGTGGGGAGCAGAACAGGCAGATGGACTGAAATGCCCTGCTGAGGAGGGCGGGTCAGGAAAGGCCAGCTGTGCCATGTCGGTCACTCTGTAGCCAGGGATCGAACTCGACCTATGGTGGCTGCCGAGAGCTTCATAGTGCTGCGCCACCAGGGAGGGCCCAAACACATCTTCTTCACTAATGTTAACTTAGGAAAATCTTGCTGCCCTGACTCTGAGCTCTGTCGCTTTGTCCTCGTCCTCACGAAAGTTCATCTCACCGTGCCCTGTCCTTCCCCAGGGGAGGAATTTCACGACGTGGAGGACGCAGAGACCTACAAGAAGATGCTGGCCCGGGATGAGCGGCGATTCCGGGTTGCCGACCAGGATGGGGACTCGATGGCCACCCGGGAGGAGCTGACGGCCTTCCTGCACCCAGAAGAGTTTCCTCACATGCGGGACATAGTGATTGCAGTGAGTGAGGGGCCCACCACCTCCTGCTGCCAGGCTTCTGATGCCAGGGCTGCCTCCCAGCGATTACCCTGGTTGCCTCAGCTCACCTGGTCCTCCAGCACCTCTTCCGGAGAGACCCCAGCAGTGGGGATTGGGACATCTCTCATGTGCTCTCCTGACCGCCCAATTTCTAATCTCTCCTGTCCAAGCTCCTCGCTCCTTTGTTTGTATTTGTGCCCACATCCCCCAGAACTAGATTCTTTGAGGGAGCCTCACCTCTTAACTGTGGGACCTCACATCTTCGGGAGCCGCCCAATGCCTCTCTCTCCCCAGGAAACCCTAGAGGACTTGGACAGGAATAAAGATGGCTACGTCCAGGTAGAGGAGTACATCGGTGAGTAGAACCTGGCCCTCCCCAGGGCGCCCATCCTCTCTCCAGCACCGGGGCACCCAGTGTGTGCCACACGGGAGAGCGTGACACCCGCCCTCACCAGGGTCCTCTGCAGTGGGGGTGACTGCTGCTGGAGTTCATGCAACCACCGCACATTTCTTGAGAACCTACTGTATGCCAGAATGAGGGTGCACTCATCAAGCACCTACTATATGTGCCAGGCACATAAGACATTTGTCTGGCACCTATTCTGTGCAAGAATAAACCAGCATGTATCAATCACCTGCTGCATACCAGGCTGACGAGACCTTTATTGGGCACTTTCTATGTACCAGGCCTAAACGACATCAAGCACCTACTGTGTGCTAGGCCCAGGACACTTTAGAGGCTGAGGCATAGCAGGTATTACCTCAGACCAGATCCCCTCCTGGGAGGGTCTGGAGTTTCTACAAACCGTGCTCCAGGCTGTGTTTGGGGAAACTGGGGAGCTTGCCTCGAAGCTTCATCTGCACAGCTAATGCTAGGTCTCCTGTTACTGGGATGTTGGGGAGCCCTTACAGCACCCCCAGGTTTCCCATGGCACTGCCTGTTCCAGCCCTCAGGAGGCAAAGAATTTTGTTGAGGGGAAAGCTGGGAAGCATAGATGTTTCTCAAGTTTGAAGATATTTTTATACAGAATTTTTTTTTAAACAATTTATTGAAAAACCTGAGGGAAAATACAGGGAATTCCCACATACACCCTTCTCCCCAAGCCCAAATGCCCAGCCTGTCCCAGAATTAATACCCTGTTCCTATACAGAATTTTTTTTTTTAAGATTTGCTTATTTATGCATATAAGATCTGGGTATGAGGTGAGAGGATTCACTAGAGACAGAGTGGGGAGAACAGGCGGATGTACAGAAATACACTGCTGAGGGGAGCAGCGGGGGGACAGGAGAGGTCTGCTGCACCCTGTGGGCCACTCCGTGGCCCCGATCCAACTCGGGCTGCAGTGGCTGCGGCCAGCTTCACAGTGCTGAGACTTAACCCCTACAGACTGTTTTTATGGGATCCTCAGGCAAAACAGTTATTTAAGCTTCATTTATTTTTCTACATTTGTGAAGTCTTTTTTTTTTTTTTTTTTTTTTGTAAGAACCACCTGGAAGCCTTGTTGAGGAACAGTAGCATATACACTGTAGTCACTTGCCATGGGCACTGAACCCCCAGCTCCCCTGTGGGAGGCTGTGACTGCCTTTCCCAGGTGAGGAAGCCTAGAGGCCCTCTGCAGTGAAGGCCCTTGCCCGAGGGCACCGCTAGCTGGAGGTGCCACAGGACTTGAGTCCCTGCTCGCCGCCCCGGGGCCCTGTGCTGCGCCCTCGCCTGTGGGGCTGTGGGACACAGATGCGGCAGGACCCCCGAAATGCAGTTTCCCACCTGATGGCGGGTGCAGAGACGGGCGGAGGCATGGAGGTGCCCATTTCAGGCTCAGTCTAAAGGCCCCAGTGGGATTTTGTAGGGATCCCCGTCAAGCGGGAGGGCGGGGACGCTGGGTGACCGGGTGCCCCAGGTCTGTGGTCAGGCAGGTGGGAGCCAGGTCACCTGCCCTCAGGGCCCCCCATCTCCCAATCGCAGCGGACCTGTACGCCGAGGAGCCGGGCGAGGAGGAGCCGGCCTGGGTGCAGACGGAGCGGGCGCAGTTCCGGGACTTCCGGGACCTGGACAAGGACGGGCGGCTGGACGCCAGTGAGGTGGGCCACTGGGTGCTGCCCCCCTCGCAGGACCAGCCTCTGGTGGAGGCGAACCACCTGCTGCACGAGAGCGACAAGGACAAGGTGAGCGGTGCGGCGCGGGGTGGGGGCGCGGGCGCCGGGGCAGACCTGGGCGCGCCGCGGGTCCCTCCTGGCGGGAGTGAGGACGAGGGTCAGAGAGACCAAGGCAGGAGAGAAAGGGGGACGGAGACTCGAGAGGGGCCCCAGGGCGGGGGTGTGGGGCCCCGAGGGCCCGCTTCAGAGAGGGGCGCGCGCAGGCAGGCGTCCACGTGTCCTGCTGACCGCTGACCCTCCCGCCAGGACGGGCGTCTGAGCAAGGCCGAGATTCTGAGTAACTGGAACATGTTCGTGGGCAGCCAGGCCACCAACTACGGCGAGGACCTGACCCGTCACCACGACGAGCTCTGAGCCCCCGAACTCAGTGCCCACTGCCACCTCGTGGCCTCAGGGGATGCCCGGAGGGGGCACCCCGCCCCCATGGTGCCCCGGTCCTGCAGGATGGGGGCTCAGCCCTGCCGCCCCCTGCTCTGCGCTCTCAGAGAGAAGTGTCAGCTTCTCTCCCTGAGATGCAAAGCCCCTCCCAACTCTGGCCCGCTGTCGGGGCCTCCTCCTGGACCCAGAGGGTGTGTGACCACCTACTTCTCACTGGCAGAATCCTGTGGCCCGGCCCAGTACCAAACAGCGGTACCAAACAGCCTCCAAGAGTCTCCGTGACCTTCCCAGCTCCAAATCTGAGCCTCTCCTCACGCGGGCGAGAAGGCCCTTGCCTGGCACTGCCCTCGGGTGCCGTCTCCCTTCCAGGCAGGCAATAAAATCCAGTGCCTGGGTCTGGTCTGTGTGTTTCTCTGAGGGGGCAGTGGAGACCTCAGGGAGATAGGAGGGGCGGTGACTGGGAGAGAGCACGTTGGGAAGTGGGGTGGGGGCGCTTGAAGGGGGGGGGCTTGTCAGCAATCAAGCGCATTTCTGGGGACAAAAAAAAAAAAAGAACCGAACAATCTGACCCCACAGGCGCTAAGCCAGAAACGCCTACCTTCCAGATAGCAAGTGTTGGCAATGTTCTGTGAAGGGAGTGATGGGGAGGCCGCACCCATTAAGAGGGAGGACTGAGCCAGAGCAGCCTGGAACAGCGGAAGCTGCGAAGCGGCGAGTGCAAAGGCCCTGGGGCAGGAGGGTTCTGAGCAAGGTGGCTGCAAGCTGACTTGGGCTCTCAGTCTGTGGCTGAGTTCGACCAAGGGGTAAGTGCAGGAGGATGTGACAGTCACCGGGCAAGAGAGCGGCACATCACTTGCTGCTTCTGCAGCCCCATGATGCCCAGCATTGAGGGCGAAGGCGCTCAAGGTCCTCGAGGCAGGGAGAACTCTCCCAATAGCGCTGCGCAAAACCAGCCAGACAGGGAAGAGCACTCGCCTGTGATTCCCTTTGCGGGAGACTCAAGCACCAGCAAGGTGAAAGTGGGGTGTAGAGGTCAGCGAGGTGTGCCCCCTTGTGGGGTGGGCCTGTGGGGTTGGGGGTGGCTTGATCTGAGCTCTGTTTCCCAGGGCTGCCCCACCTGTGAAAATTCGCCCAGGACCAATGCCCTTCTGTGCAAGAGCGATCCAAAAATAGCCTAGATTTTTAGGGAGGTGACTAGTCCATAAAGTGAGCCCTCATTACCACTGGGTTTTAATCAGCAATAATGTACCCACAATGCCTAAGGGCCTCAACCAAGCATCACACTAGTGAAAGACGCCAAAACGGCGGTAATAACGGCCAGCTGGGGGTAGGGTAAGCAGGAGCTATCGGGACTCTGTACTTTCCACTCATGTTTTAGGAAACCTAAAACTGCTCTTTATCTTTTTTAAACTGCTTTTTATAAATTAAAAAAAAAAAAGCCTATTAATTACCAACAGAAAAAAAAAAGGTAAGCAACTAAAATAGAAAAAAATGAATCCCCTTACAGGTTAAGCCCTAGATCCCTCCATATTTGACTATTTCCCCCCCTTTTTGAAGAAAGAGGTGGAAACAACCCAGGGTAAGACATAAACAACTAGACCAACTTGATAGAATAGATATTTCACTTCCAGTATACTGGAATATTAAATGGCTAGAATAGCTCCCCATTGCCTTCAATGACGAAATTTTTTTCAGTAATGCGTAGTTTTCAAAGGTCTTAAAACAACTTTTGTTAAATTTATCTCAGGGTATTTTGTTATTGTAAATAATTTTTTAAATTTTACACTTCCATATCCCACTTATAGATATAAAATACACTTTTTGTATATTTGTATCCTGCGATCCTGATCCTGCTAAATTTATGTATTACTTTTAGGATTTGCTTCATTCTTTTTATTTCTCGACTAGATTTCTGTCTTTTTTTTTATGCATACAAGAACTGGGGTGCAGGCCAGAGGTGTGGGGGGGGGGAGTGAGAGAATCCACCAGAGAGTGGGGAGAACAGGCCAACTGAGGGAGCAGCAGGAGACAGGAGAGGCCTGCTGGCCCTGTGGGTCACTCCCTGCTGGGAGTGGAACCCCCTCTGCAGTGCGATTCATAGTCCTGAGCCAACCCTCTGCAGCATCAGGGAGGCCCACCCACCACACTCTTCTTAGCTTTCGCTGGGCTTCTTGGACTGTACCCCGTGTCAGCTCAGTCAGGTATACTTGGGCAGAGTTTATCCAGCATTCCGGAGCACCCCCTCTCTGGCTCCCTTCCTGCTGCTGTGGTTCTTCATACAGGAGGACGCTGGGTTTTCTCTGGCGTTCAGACTGCCCAGCTTAGGATGGGATAGAACCCGCCCTTAGACAAAAAGCTGCACAAGTAAAACTCATCCACTGCCTGTAAATTAACCTCTAGTTCCAGCCAGCTTTGTTTTTCACTTTTCAGTGCCTTTAGGTTATGGTTTTCTAGTTTATTCAGCGTTTATCACTGAGATCTGTGGGAGACTTAGATTTTTGAACTCAAAGGTTTCAGGCTCCAAACTTTTACTCGTGATGACATACTGCCCTCTAGTGGCACCAAGTGGAGACCTGTTTTATGAAGGCTGACGGTAAATGTGGAATTCTTTGGGGATCTGGCCAATTAAAAAATACATTTCGTGTTATTTATATTTATTATTTTTAAAAGACA